GTTTAGCCTGGAGAAGAGGAGGCTGAGGAGAGACCTTGCTGCTCTCTACAGCTCCCTGATGAGGTTGGAATGAGGTGGGGTTGGGCTCTTTTCCTACCTTAATGATTCCATTACCTCCTTGCTTTCCAAACTTCCTTTCAGAGAGGGTTCCAAGCGTGGCTGGATCCTGTCTGAGCCCCTGACTGTAAAGAGAGTTCTGATCCAAAGTTCTGCCAGAGGGTGGGTTTATTTCAGCTGGAGGTGGGTGCCTCTGGAAAGCAACCCAGAGCAAAGAAATCCCTGGGCAGTTATTCCCTTTGGAGTCCAAGTTCTTCTCCCCTCACTTGGTGGTTTTAGCCAATAAAATATTGGATAATATTGGTAATAATATTGGTCATATTAATTAAAATTGGATAATATACTTGTGAGAAGCCTGGTGTGAGAAAGGGCCTGTGTTACTCAGTGGAGGGTGTGCCTTGTCCTGATTGTTTTTCCTAGACCAAAGGTGCACTGGAGTTTCTGTTGATGGGGAAATGTCCAACAGAAAGAGAGGGGGCTGGGATATGTCAGAAAACTGATTTGGTTTAATCCTGCTAACTTAAACTCGAGACATTTAAACGAGCAGCAATATTATCACTTTAATGTTATCACTTAGAAATTTAGGGGCAAGGTGCAAGCCTCACTTTCAGTGCCTAGTGCCCAAAGGGAGCCTTAGGATAACCAGAGATCTTTCTTCCTCTGTCAGTCCCACATTAAGCCCAAAATGGGGGGAACTGCACCTCTTTTTGAACAGTGGCTTCAAAAATTTGGGTGGTCACGAGCAGCCTGGGCCCCTTCTGTCAGCAGAACAAAGTTGACCCCAGCTTGCTCTTCTCTAACAATCTTTATTTCACCAGATCTGTTGAAAAACATTTTTAAACATTCCTTTTTTGAACGCTGGAGTGAAAAAGAGCCCAAAGCTTTTTTTTGAAGGCAAAAAGGCCCTTGAGGCAAAGCAGAGGAGCTGAAGAGCTTGGTGGCTGAGAGGAGGAGCTGACAGGGAGGCTGAGCAGAGGTCAGTGAGGAAAAGCTGCAAAGTAGCTTTAGAAGAGGATGTTTTTCAAAGCAAAATTGATCTCTGCTCTCTGTCCCTTTTGATTTTCCTCTGGTTATGCTTGTAGCAAACAATGGAGTCAGACATAAAAGTGAATGAGGATTTTAAAAGCCAGTTTAAGGCTTATCAAGAACAACAGGAGAAGCGGCTGCAAAACCTGGTGGAGAGGAAGAAGAAGCAGCAGAAGAGTCAGAAGGGGGATGATGGCAGTGCAAAGGAGACTTCCAGAGTCCCAGATGATCTAGCCCTGTCTGAAGCAGGGCAGCCTGTGAATGAAGATGGCAGCAAAAGGTAAAAGTGTAGTTGAGGAAGTCACAGGAGTATGTTTTGCATATCACAGAATCACAGACTGGTTTGGGTTGGATGGGATCTTAAAGATCACCTTGTTCCAGCCCCCCTGCCATGGGCAGGACACATCCCACTGGACCAGGTTGCTCCAAGCCACATCCAGCCTGGCCTTGAACAACTCCAGGGCTGGAGCATCCACAGCTTCA